TGCCGTAGGTTCGCCATCATGGATCTAGGGATTACCTGCCTCCAAAATCAAGCCCATTCCAGACCATTAAGCTAGCTTACCCCCCCCCCTTTTTTTTTTTGTATCTGTAAATAAGTATAACCTCTTCCAGAATAAACCAAACTAAGCAACAGCCTGGCTTTTTCACTGCTGTTGTTTTACACTGAAATTGCAATTTAAACCCCTCACAGGAAATTGCCCGCACGTTCAGCCCAGTTGATTGTAAGCCAGTGAACCCTCTTCAAGGAATTCCCTTCTTGTTAAGCCCCCTTCACCCGTCTTTGCCGAAAGGCTGGATTGAAAAACCCTCCCCTCATCCCACCTCCCCCTTCCCTGATCCGTGGTCCTGCGCGTTCAATTAAATTATTAATAATCATCAAATTATTAAACGGTGTATTTGGAGTTAAGGCCGGGTTTGTTTGTTTTTCTGAATTAAGGCACCCGGTGCTGGCCTCTAAGGCGGGTTAAGAAGAACCAAGATCGCTCAATCATCTCGAGCTGAGGCTGTTGGCGAAGACCTCCCCCACCCCCACGCCAACCCCGCCAGCCAAAAGGCACCGCCTCGAAAACGCTTCCGGCTCCAGATTTTCCCCCCCTCGTGCACGCGCACGGAAACCCTCCGCCTCCCGCGGAAGCGCCGTCCAATCAGGAGCCCTGTTGGGCGGGGCTCTCGGCTGTACACAGCCACCACGTGCAGCTGGGGTGAGGACTGGCCGCCGCCAAAGCATCCGAGGAGGCAGAGTCAGCCGCGGCAGCGGGAACCTTGGGCTCTTCGAGGAAAGGAGCGGGTGGCCGCCGGGAGGAGGATCGCGGCGATCCCTTCATTTGCACCCCGTCGCCCATTCTTTCTTCCTCTGCTTCTCTTTCTCAGTGGTGGTGGAATCTGAACGAAAATCAAAGCGTCGCTCCCCGTCGTTGCAAAGTTAGAAGTTATCGCCCCTTTATAGCAATCGAGCCAGGTTGCCTGCCAGCCCAGCCAGCCAGCTTGCTGGAGGGGGTCCATCCTCTCGCTGTCTCGCCCGCTGCAGATGGAGGCGACCGAATACTTGATCGCTGGTGCTGATGGTGCTGAGACTGCAGCAACGGCGAGGCTCTTTTTTTCCTGGTGACGGAAGCAAAGAAACGGACTGAATCGGGGCTGGGGTGGTGGGCGAAGTAATTCGTGGAGATTCGGAGGAAATCCGGCCGCGCTGGTTGGATCAAACAGCATCACCGACCGGAGCAAAACACACTCGGGCTGCACAAGGTTTGGTTGGCTCCCTGGATCATCTTGCGGAGGTTTCTCGTTTTTCTTGACTGTCCCCTCCTTCCGAAAAAAACCCGGCCCTTGCTGCGGGATCCGAAGAAACGGCTTTCTAGGGCGCGCTCTACGGCTGAAGTTGCGGGCAGGCGTGTTTTGGATCTGCGGTTTGCCAGTGCCACCATCCAACGCGACGAGACGGACTTCAGGGCGTTGGGGGGAGGGCGAAAAAAGCAAGAAAACCGGGTAAGAGAAACGCTTGCACGTGTTTCAGCGGAATCCTATTTTTAGATCCACCAAAGTTTTATTCCAGTTTATATGCTCCTCCTTGGGGGGGGGGAAGAACCCCAGTTCCCGTGTAAGTGTAGGGATGGTTTCTGGGCACGCGCAGAAGTCCTCCCTTCCCACTGGATCGTGAGCCGTCTTGCGTGGTGGAGTACATCTCCCAGGCAAAGGTTCGTTTATATAGCACGCGTGGCTTTGAACCAGGCAGCCTTCCCCACGAAACGAGCATCCAGGGCAGCAGAGCAAAGGAGGTGGAGAGAAACGTCGTTTTAGAGCCTATCCTGGACGTTTATGCTCATTTTCCTGAGGATATTTGAATTGCATTAACTCACAACAGCCTTATAAATTAGGCCATCATTGTTCCCAGAGATCTACTTGGGGAAGAGACTGATACGGAATAAGGGACTTTGTCTGAGGCCTCTAAATAAGCATTTATTGGGGGAAAGCAAGACTCAAAACAGACTTCTTGATCGACTGTTTATTCTGATAGCAAAAATATTATTGGATCTTGGTACTATCCATTCAGTACCATTGTCCCCAAATGGTAATAATGAATTATGACAGCTAGTCCTGCTATCGCTTTAATTCCGGAGGCTTCTAGCAGTTAGAAAGGAGTACAATGGGGGAGTTTGTGGGCATGAAAGAAATATACCCTAATTCTCCCTGTAGTTAATACGAGGGAACAGTCTTCAAGAAAGTTTTCCAGTTTATTCTCCACAAGGGCTGACACAGGAGAAGTTCTCCACTTTGTCACCTTCAATGGCTTCTCAGCTGTAAGGCACATGGAAAAAATCAGCAATAGAAACCCAAGCTTGTGTTTCATATTGCTGTGGGATGACTTCATGGCCTATGGGGAGCTGAGGTGCACAGTTTGAGTTCTGTGGACTTGACAACATAACCCACTTCATAAGGCAATAAAACACTTGATACATTAAAAGCTCTACCAAACTGATAAATGGTCATTGCTTTCAAATTCTCCTGGGTAAATCAAGTTAACTTTCTAAAACAGAGAGCACCCCATTTGAAAATCGATTCTGAGTTCTGCTTCCTAAACCTTAAAGAACTAGGAGTATACTGCTTAGCCTATTCATTTTCACTGCATAAAGATAACAAAATAAGCACCTACTGTATATTGTATAGTATTGGCTCCTGGAATGTAGCAAGCCATGGCCTACTTAACCATGAATTATTAAATCATGCTTAAATCAAAACCAAACCAACACAAAGCAATATAATTGCATGATCTCAGCCTGTATTTCTGTTCTGTTTTGTTCTATTGGCCAAGGCAAAAATAGAGTTGAATCATAGAGGGAAACTCTAATCATTAATCAGCCCACATACCTTCCTCTCTTATTCCCTTCATTTTCCCAGATCTTGGGGTTAGTGGGTTGTCCAAACATCATTTTGTTTTACTAAATCAAGACTTGTCATAGATTAAATAGACTCAGTGTGTGGTGGAAGCATCACCAATTCCTCTTTAGGTGTAAATGGGGATTTCAGCCTATGTAGCTACAGCTTGTTCAGCTTAACCAGATCTGGCAATCTTTAGCAGAAAACTTGAATTGAAACCGTTGACACAACGTCAGTTTTTATGTTATTAAAAAACTTCCCTCCTGAAAGCATAGGGATAAAACAGGTGGCTGATTGGTTAGCGACCCAATATTATGACTTAAGAATTATGAAATCTGTAATTAAATCTTCTTAAGTGCTTCTGCTTGTTCATAGTTTTGTAATTGGATATAGAGGATGCCCATAAAATATACCAACAGTGAAATAGTTTTCAGGGAATGTATAAGCAAAGCCACGCCTTCTCTGCTTTCTCTGTAAGTTGGGAGGTTGGCCCATTTCCTGGGATTTGTTATATGTCAGTTCTTGGCATTAATCCACACATATTCAAGCTCCTCAAATCTTTGTGCAAGGCTGTAACCTCTACTTGGAGCCCAAACCATGATGCAAGAGATCTTAATACTGGTTTACCAGCAGCCATCACAGTAGAACGAGTATTCCCCAGGGGTACAGCTTTTAGGAAAACAAGGGGCCTTTCAGTGTGAGGAGGGGAAAGGTGACAATGGGAGTTATTTCAATGTTCTACTTTGCTGGCAGGATTACTCCTAACCCCAGTACTGAACATACTGAATGAGTTTCCAGTGGGTGTTCTTGAAAAAGTGGCATAGAGTTATGAGAAGTTGCATTTGAACGGTATTCTGGCAGTGGTCACAAACATGCTTAATCAGTGCAAGGAAAGTATGAGATGCCTTCTGATTAGTCCTAAGCTTGCTCATTTTTAGCAAATGTGCTGTGCAGATCCTGTCCCATCCCCCCACCCCACCCCCACAGTTTGTTCATGGATCAGTGAGTTGTGGGAACTCCATAAGTAGGTTGATCTTCTGGGACAGCACTCAACAAGTCAGATTCTGGTCCATATAACTCAATGATATATCCTCTCATTTTAGATAGGGAATTGTTCCCAGCTTCATTTGATATTCCAAAGGTTACACTTGGGACCTTTTGAATGCAACACAGATGTTCTGCCGCTGAACTTACAGCACTCAGCAAACTCCCTTTTCCTGCTTCCCTTGCCATAGCCTCAGTCACTGCCCTCACGACCCACTCCTTGTGGATCAAAGGTGTTTCTGACTTGCAGGTTGAGGCTGGCCACCTCTTTCCCTATGAATGAAACAGCCTTGGAGGGGCCGCTGTGGAGACTGTCTTCCTGCCACCCTCCAGTTCTTGGCAATTGCAGCTGTCTTCCCTTTTGGTTGCCAGGAAGTCTCTTGTCAGTATCTGGCCAGGATGGAGGGGGACAGCAAGGTGCCAGGAAGGGAACACGCACTTCCTGTATTTCCCTTACCCAGCTGCTTGCTCTCTTGCTCTCCCTCTTGTTCCCCACTCCCCCTCTGTCCCTTTGCTTTTCCGCTGCAGGATTGTCCAGGGATGGTTTTCAAAGCCACCATTTGAAAACAACACCCTGTCCTCTGGAGTCCTGAGGCATCCCTCACTGCTCACTCGCTCTTGTCTCACTGCCTGCGGTGGTCCTTCTTCATTTTCCATTCCCGGCAGGCTTATGTGGATGCCTTCTTACCACAGAGCCACTTGGCCTCTGCTCCAGCACATCCTCTCCAGGGGAGTTGGATAGGTTGGATTTGGAAACACCAAAGGAGGAAACTTCTTCAGGCTAGTGGTGGCTCTGCTCAGCCTGCCAAGCTGAGGCGGTAACTCAAAAAGAGCAGCAAGAGCACAAAGGTTATTTCAGATAAACAAGATAAACACTCTGGGATTTACGGAGATGAAGTTTCATCCGGTAGCCTTTATAGCGGCCGATCTTTGCTAAGCCACGCTAATCAGGGATACTGAGAGCAAAGCAGAGCAGCAGCTAATTGTTTGGGGGCGATTCCTTCATCAGATCTTTTCTTTTCCAGACTTTCTCCAGGAAATCCCAGGCTGCTTTGATGCCCTCTTTTTCCTGCCAGTAGAACGAAAGATGACTTCTGCTCACAATGTTGTGCTCTGGGATGCCCCTTTCTCATTTTTCTAGCAAAAACTGGATGGAGGACAAGACTGGCAGCACAATGTAGACATTTTTCTGGAGCAAGAACTTGGGATCTTCCAGTCCTCTGGTTTGGAGCATTCTCCTGCCTTCTGGCAGAATCATCCCCTACGTGTGTGCATTCTCTCTCTCTCTCTTTCTCTCTCTCTCTTTCTCTCTCTCTCTCACACACACGCACCCTTTTCAAGCACTGGAAGAGGGGGAAGAAGTTAAGTGGCAAATACAACGACTCCTCTTGATGCGTTTTTGTGACTGGGAAACTTCAGACACCACCCAGAAATTCTGCCAAGATTGACCCAAGGCTTTGGACCAAGACAGTTCTGGCCACCTAAACTGTGGCGTACAGCCTTATGGAAGACTTGGGCAAGTCGACGCTGTGGCTGCAGGCCGAGCTGGCCTCCCCTTCTCCGTGCTTGCACATCCTTGATTGCCGCAGCCGGGACCTATACGATTCATCCCATGTGGAGCGGGCCCTGAGCGTGGCCCTCCCAGGACTACTTCTGCGCCGCCTTCGGAAGGGGAGCTTGGCGGTCCGGTCCTTGCTTCCTGGGCCCCCTCAGGGGCTCTGTGAGAACATGGTTTTGTTGTATGACGAGGGGACAATCCAGCTCTCTCGGCCGGACAACCGGGAGGAAGAAGAAGAATCAGTGCTGCTCACGCTCTTGCAGAAGCTCCGAGAGGAGGGCTGCCTGGCCTACTACCTGCAGGGTAGGTGTGCAGAAAAAAGTTGTCTATGTGGGAGAAAGAAATAACTGACCAATGCTAGCTTCTAGATTGATTCTTGACTGGTGCAGCAGAGTAAAGATGGAGCTGTGGTTGCTGGAATGTTCCCTTCTGAGGTGTAAACATCCACTGATAAATTGGGGGAATGAGGAATACAATAGGTTTTCCTTTATCCTACTTATTTGTTGTCCTTCCCTGCCCTGCTAGTGTGTACTTCCTTGTCTTTCAACTGTTCAATTGGGAGAGATTCCAGTGTGCCACAAAGGAAGCAGGTGAAAAACCCATTGGTTTGAATTAATGCCAACTTAAATTTATGTTACTTATTAATATAAAAAATTTATATAGCCACCTGTCTTATAACCAGCTCTGGGCTACTCCCAATCAAGAGTTAAAAGCACAAAAAACCATGTTATAAAACCTAAACACATTAAAACAACAAAAACCTGGCACCAAGTGAGACTTTCTGATGTGCAGTCACTTCATCTTATCCCGACACCTGGAGGTAAAAACCAGGTCTTCCAAGTTTTACCATGTGGTAAATTAATGGGTGACTTAATACATTTCACAAATAAAATAAATATGTGGATAGAAGCTTATCAAACTTCAGGGGACAAAGTATTTGGTAGGGCAAGGGTGGGCACAAAATGGCACGCTTCCTAACTCCTGTCAGATGGCAATATTTAAGGGAAGGGACTAGGAACATGCCCACCTTAGCTGACTTGAATTACATCTCCCCTTTTGGCAGTTAGGACCATCTATTTAGCATCCCATGTCAGGGTGACCAGCCAGATACATCTGGGAATTCATGACTGAGATCAAGAGCAATGTGCCATTCTCACATTTCTGCACAGCTAGGTTGCTGGAAGTGATACCTAGCCGTCTGGGTTAGTAGCTACTGACAGAGCTAATGTCTGTTATTCTTCGATTGCCTTTCAAAAGTAGTAGGGTTGGTGGCTTTCTTGCAGTAAGGAATTTCAGGTTATAATTAAGTTCTGGATGAAGGTCTCATTGTTATTTCTTCTGAATGCCTCACTGTACATCAAAGGTGGAAATAACTTTTCTGTATCCACTTCTTACAAGGAATTATTTTCCAGAGCTCCATTACATTCCCCATTATTTACCTTTTTTTTAAAGCTAGAAAACGCTATAGCCATTGTAACTTTTCAAACTCAACAATATCTTTTTAAAGATAGGATAACCAGATTCCTGCACTGGGTTCCAAGCATACTTACATACTTACATAATTTGCTTATAAAGACAACATGGGTAGTCCTTGACTTTGCAACCATTCATTTAGTGACCGTTGCAAGTTCCAACAGCACTGAAAGAAGTGGATTATTATGACTGTTTTTCACATGACCCTTTCTGCACACATGGTTCACTTGATCGAAATTTGAGTGCTTGGCAACTGGCATGTATTTATGACAGATGCACTGTCCTGGGTGTCGTGTGATCATCATTTCAAACTTTCCCAACTGGATTCTGACAAACAAAATCAATGGGAGAAGCCAGATTCGCTTAACAACCATATGATTCACTTAACAACTGTGACAAAAAGTCATAAAATGAGGCACACCTCACTTAACAACTGCCTTGCTTACCAACAAAAATGTTGGGCTCAATTGTAGTTGTAAGTTGAGAATGACCCATATTGGCTTGGCCACTTGTATAATGACCTGTATTTTGAAATTTGTATTTTTCACAATTGTTTGATCTATAGATTATTGATGGGTCATTAAAAAAATTTAACAACTTCCCCAAAATCCCTTTCCTAGCCAGCTGCTACTAGATTAGACACCATCAAGTTATATACATATACAAATAGTCCCCAACTTATGACTATGCCTGAGCCGGGAATTACGGTTGTAAGTCATACTGGTCATTAAGCAAGTCATGCTGTGACTGTGCCCAATTTTGCAATCTTTTTTGCAGTGGTCATTAAGCGAACCTATTTTACGCAATGGGTGTTTTTTGTGGGCAATCATAAGTAAGCACCGATTTCCGGCAAAAACTGGTGTAAAAATCATAGTCATGTGACTGCAGGTTTCCAAGTGCCCAAGTGTGATCACATGACCCCAAGGGGGAGCCCAGCCACTGGAACTTGAAATCCAGGTTATAAGACAGACTCCCTTTTGAGGGGGGAGGGGCTCTGTCATAACTTCAAACAGACATGAATCAAGGACAATCTATATATGTACATCATTTTCATGTCAAGCTAAATAATTTGGCTGTCTTCACAGTTGGCCACATCACTGCCCACTGCTAGGAGGAGGAGATCACTAATACAAACAGATGAAAGACATTTCTCCCATCGGAATCCTTGTGCTTATATCCCTTCACATTGTAAGAACTAGTCGTACTTCCACGCTAGGACTTCTAACTTTGCTTCAAAGGGCTCTGTCAAAAAGGTTTGAACGTCCAATTAAACAATGGCCACACTGATTGGACAGCGCTGATCTCCAGAATTGCAATGGAGAAGGATTTAGTTATTGAATTAAATCATAGGTCTGAGGTCTGCCTCAGGAGGGGCAATGAATCTCTAGAGCAGGAGTGTCAAACTCAAGGCCCATGGGCCAAATCCGGCCCGCAGGGTGCTTAGATCTGGTCCGCGTGGCCGTCCTGGAAATAGCAAATGACCAATCCTGCAGTGGCTCTGCCAATGAAAATGGAGCTTGGGAGGGCCTCACGTGGCTGTCCCAGACTCCGTTTTCAGCCATGGTGGCCTCCTGCAGCCCTCTGCCATTGGAAATGGAGCTGGGGGGGGGGCATATGCCCCCCCAGCTCCATTTTCACTGGTAGAGGGCTGCAGGAGGTTACAGCCGATAATGGGGCCCAGGAGCCCATTTTCATGGCAGAGCACTAGGGCCACCACAGGCACCCTCGAGTAATGTTATGCTGGACGGACACACACACACACACACACACACACGAAAAACAACTGTGCTGTGGACCTCAATGAAATCGAGTTTGACACCCCTGCTCTAGAGTGTCAGGCAAGAATCTTCTCTGGCCCTCTTCCCTGCCATTTTTCAACAGGATATTTAAATGCTATGTGTGATGCTTCCTACATTTGATCCTCTGTGACTCTGCCAAGTGTAGAAGGGGGAGCCAAAGTGAAAGAAAAGTGCTGGGATTGGATCAATTCCTTTTTATCCAGTTTTGCAACTCTGATGACCTCCTTAAGTATAGAAATGTGGCAAATTAAGCCACCCATGTTCACGTCTACATAGGTTTCTTGGGGACAAAATGGAAATAGTTTGCTATTGCCATATTCTAAAATGTTTCTTGATTCTGTCCTTCTTAGCTTTTTTCAAGATCATTGACAATCGGTGAGGGATTGATTTAGGATCAGTCGCTTAGCAACCATTCAAAATTATGATGAGTCTCCAAAAGGACCTCACAATCCAGTTTTGAAGTTCCAAAGTTGCCCACCACCATGGTCACATGATCACGTTTTGGGCACTTGGTGACTGGCCTGTAATTATAGCCATTTGAAATGCCTGCAACTTACCACATTTGCTGGAAATCAACATTTATTTATGTCTTCTGACAAAAACTGGCCCATAACAAAAAATAGGTTTGATCAACGTCCACGGTGTTCAACCACAATATTTGCTTAATGACTGCTGCAACAGAGGTCCTAATAATGTCTCAGGTCACTTGGTGATCCCTTTTACAAATATCACAATTTATTATCATAAATGATCTATTTGGACAGCTAGGTGCTTTCTGTGTAAATGTTGGGTTGATCAAGCATTGCCAGGCTTAATTATTGTTGTATGTCAGGGACTACTGTAATGGATGGCCTTTTTTTGTTAAAAATCTGGATGGTTGATGGGCTTAGCAGGGGAGAGCCCATCACATGGGACTTTGCTTAGCAATTTCATCTACTGATAATTATTTATTGTTATTTTGTCTCAGATTACTTTTTTCTTATACGGTGCCGCAAGTTGCATTGTTCAGGTTGGGCAGCAATATAAATTCATTAAATAATCTTTCACTATGGTGGGTTTCATCTGCAGAGGTGCCAATATTCTGAAATTATTTCCCTCTACCCCAAACATTACACCAAATTCATGGGGTTTCTGTGAATGATCTATTTGGCTAGGTGCTTTCTGTGTAAATGTTGGGTTGATGTTTTTAATTTCTGCTTTTGTTTTTCTTCTCCCATCCCCCTTCCTTTATTGCTGTCTATATTTTGATAACCTTTTGAATTCAATAGTTTTTCTTATGCATTTATATTTTTCCAACTACTTTGAGGTGCTTTTCGCATAGAATTACAAAACAATGTAAGAATCTATAAAAGCAAAAAGCTACAAACACAGAATGTACTCCAGAATGAAAATATGATATAAAAATATAGCAAGGAGTAGGCCTTGACTTAGAGCAGGGGTGTCCAACCTTGGCAACTTTAAGACTTGTGGACTTCAACTCCCAGAATTCCTCAGCCAGC